ACCACGACTCTCTCCTCTGAAGCACATCCCCTGCTTTGAGATTTTCTTCACATTCCCTCCAGTTTGCTCCCATTCTGTTGTGTACTCACTACCCTAGAGGTAGAGATGTCAGCCACATGACTGTTAGTTTTTCCCTCAGCAGTCGGGAGATAAAAGGGATGAAAAGTGGCGAACTGATGGGCAATACAAACTTCTGTTTTGAAACTCAAGGTGGGCATGGAAACAAAGACTTTTGCACCAAGTACAGTAAGTCTGTATTTGCTGCCTTCTCTCTCATACTGCATGGAGCCTAGACTGCCAGTATGGCTTGTTAAACTGCTGGTGCTCTCTGTGCCTATGCATGTCCTGTTCCATACAGTTCCATTCTTCAGGAAATGCAGTTGTCATTAACACTGTATCTCTACACAGTTGAACTGGAAATAGGATGTGCTAGAGTATTTCCAGCACATCTATTTTCAGAAAATTAGCTATCTTGTTTAGCTTGCCTATAGTCTTGATAACACCATGGGATGTGCTATGTTTTTTATTTTTAAAATTTTACAACTGTAATATTTTACAGGATCTCTCCACCTTACACACACAGGAATAACTCATGCAAGGATATTTTCTACTTCAGTTCTATTTATGCCTGGAGTATAAAAATGCGCGTGAATAAAGATGCACTCACTGTGTTACAGATGTACTTAGGCAGATGGAGAAGCACTGCAAAAATACGAGTTTCAGAGATTTGCAGTTCATAACTAAAAAATACACAATGGTATCAAAAGTAGCAGTAAAAGATAACTTGCCTTTGACAAAATGCAGAGCATATTTGATCTATACAGACTGGATTGCTGGGCTGAGGCCAGTGGGATGAAGTTCAACAAGACCATGTGCCAGTCCTGCACTTTGGCCACAGCAACTCCAGCACACTACAAGCTGGAAAGCTGCAAGGAGGGAAGGATCTAGAGGTATTAGTCAGCAGCCATCTGAACATGAGCCAGCAGTGTGCCCAGGTGGCCAAAAAGGCCAGTGGCATCCTGGCTTGTGTCAGAAATAGTGCTGCCAGCAGGTGCAGAGAGGTGATCATTCACCTGTACCCAACTGGCTGTATCTCCAGTGCTGTGTTTGGTTTAGAGCCCCTCACCACAAGGAGGACGTTGATGCTCTGGAGCGTGTCCAGAGAAGGACAGAGATGTTGTGAGGGGTCTGGAGCACACATGTTACAAGAAGTAGCTGAGGGAACCGGGATTGTTCAGCCTGGAGAAGAGGAGGCTCAGGGGAGACCTTATAGACCTCTACAACTACCCAAAGGGAGGTTGTGGCAAGGTGGGGATCAGCCTCTTCTTCATAATTAGTGATAGGACTAGAGGGAATGGCCTCTAGTTGCACAAGGGGAAACTCCAGTTGGACATTAGGAAAGATTTCTTCTCTGAAAAAGTAGTCAGGCACTGGAATCAGGCTGTTCAGGGAGGTGCTGGAGTCACCATCCCTGGAGGTGTTCAAGAAACATTTAGATGTTGCACTAAGGGACATGGTTTAGTGTGAAAATATTGGTGATAGGTACACAGTCGGACTTTCTGGAAGTCTTTTCAAATCTTGGTGAGTCTGTGATTCTACATTCAGTTAAAGACCCCATTTCATCTTACTGTACCCTAACAGAAGTAAGTTTTTGTCCTTTTGTTTTACAGCTAATGCAAAGATGTAGGGAAAAGGTGAGTAAAAACAGACATTTTTGTATTACTCTAGAAGCAGAGAAATGGATATGCTTAATTAAACAATGTCTTCTAGCTGTGTCTCTGTTACTGTTTCTTCTCACTGTGTTTTCAGGAGACCAATATTTTGGCTTGCCCATCTCTGTTGAAGGAACAGTGGTCTCAGCTGTCTACAGTAGTGCAGCTCTGAAGGGATATGCATATTCTGCTGCCTGGGAGACCATGGTGAGTATGGGGTAGAGCAAGCAATCTGCAAAGAAGGTTCATTATTCTCTTTTCTCTTTACCAGATACAACTTGCAAATTTTTTTCCAATTTCTTTTTTTCGCTTTGTTCTCTTCTTCAGCCATTATTTTGAAGCCTATTTTCACAGAATCATAGAGAAAGAGTATTTTGGGTTGGAAGGGACCTTTAAAGATCATTTGATCCAACTCTCCTGCAATGAAGAGTGATATCTACAGCTAGATCAGATTGTTCAGAGCCACATCCAGCCCCCTCTTGAATGTTTCCAAGGATGGGATGTCCACCACCTCTCTGGGCAACCTGTTCCAGTGCTCTTGGGTCTCCCTGGAGCCTTCCTTCCTCCAGGATGAACAGCTCCAACTCTCCCAGCCTGTCCTCATAGAGTAGGTGTTCCCTCCCTTGGATCATCCTGCCATACTAGCACTTCATCACTCTCCTTACAAAGGAATAAGTTCCCTACTCTGACAGAGTTCTTTGCTTCCATTCTGCTTTGTTTGCATGTGCTGCAAAGCGTTAGACAGCTAAAAAGGCAAATCTGCTGTCACATTGCCAGAGTAAACAGAATGCTTTATTTCACTCTTCTATTTATTTCTACCATTGCTTTTAAGTACAATAAAACTTTACTGAGTTTCCTACTTCCTTTAAGGGTTTGGGTTTTGATGTCTTTCTTCCCAGCACTTTGGGACTTAGTGAAGTTAACATTGCACTCAGTCTAGCTTAAAAATTTTCATCACAGTTGCTACATAATTTTCATCTGGTGGGGGCTTCCTTGGGCTGCCAGGCTGCAGGAACTTCTTAATTGTAGGCATGTTGCTCATTTTGGTTTTAAAAGCCTGAAAAATAAAAGCGAGAGAGATAAGTCCTGACGATGTGAGCAACAATGTTCCATACATAAGACACTGGACAGCTTCTTCCCCCTGCTGGTAGAATGGATTCATTCAGACGCAGGTCTACGCAGGCTCCTCCTGCCTGACACGAAAAGGACCCAGCTGCTGCCAAATGCTTATTCTTACCAGCAAAAGCAGTGTTGGAGCAAGCAACACCTAGATCTCCACTGCCTGCAAGAAACTGGAGGCAAAAACTGCAATATCTAGGAGCATCAGGGATTAGTTTGAAAGGTCCATGTGAACTAACCAAGCTCATGTCCTTTTTATTTTATTTTATTTTATTTTTTTCCCATTTCTTCTTATGATGGTGCAAACTTACCACCTAGGAAAACCAAATTAGCAATGTGATTTCTGTTTGTACCACAAGGCACTTCTAAGATTGTACGGGTGAAGGTGAAATGGCTGGAAGCCATTTCTTTGCTCAACTCCGTTGTCAAGTGCAGACTTCTTGTGCTATGTGTCTCACCCAACACAGCCAAATTATTTACATGGAGCTGGCAAATATAGCATGGGCCTCAGGCCAGTTCCCTTCTGGGTTTTGTCTGGTGGCCAAGATGAGGATGACTTGGGCATCTCAGATGACAAGAGATGCCTTCTCTCACTGTACAGTCTGAGAGGACCCACTGGAGCAAGTTTTGAGCATCTGGAGATCCCACAGTTAGCTCAGCAATATTATGTACATGAGAACCTCCTCTGACAATGGGGCTAAGGGAGAGGAGCTTTACAGAACAACAGCCATTTCTTGTTGGCACATCTATGAACATTTCTTCTTCCTTACAAGCACTGGAAGGATAAGGGGAAATGAAGGAAGAAGCAGGAAAAGTAAAAACTGTGAAGTAAAAAAACACCAATATTAGAAGTATTTTCTCTTCTGGCCATGAAGGCATCCTTATGATTCAAGTCACGTCAGAAGAACAGTGCCCATACCTGGTGGACAAGATATTTTCCCAAAAGATGGGAGCTAGAGGCCAGAATTTCCTGAGGCTGAAGAATAGTGCACAGGTTGCAGTCTGTCACAAAATTCTGCCAACTTTGTTGCTAAAGCAGCTCATTCTGTCATGCTAAATTCAAACTGCTGGGATTGGGATTTGCGGGGAAGGAGGGAAGGATATCACATCTCCTCCCCACCCCTTTTCCTCAAATACCAAGCAGAAATTCCAGTTAGGATAGTCCGATGCTGGACTGTTTATTTTGTTCATAGGATTAAAGCCGAAGTCTTTGAGTGCATCCTTTAGGTTAACTATTTTTAAGCACAGAGTAATGATCTCAAGCATGGCATTATCGGTCTAAATTTGCATTGCTTGCACTGCTCTGTTTACCAAGATTACAGGCACAAGGTTGAACTACTGAACAGTATTTGCTTTTTTTAGTCTCAGACTATTTGGATCCACTGTATCACAACTCTGACTCCTGCAGGTTTGCTCAAGCACTGGGCTCTACAGCATGCTGCAGATCTGGAATTTTCTGATTTCTGATTGCCTTACTTCCGCTTGGTTGCAGATTTTGCACATGGTACAAAAGCAGAAAATTCATCCTTGATGATATCAAGTTGATTACTGAAGGTAAACTGTGGATTTTTTTGTTGTTGTTTGTTTATTTGTTCATTTGTTTGTTTTGGTCAGGGCTTGAATTTCTAGCCATGCTGTGGTAAAGTTAATGAAATCCCAAACTTATACCAGCCAGTACAGAAAATGGCATGCTCTATCATAGTCTAACATGTCAGTCTATGTCACAGATGTAGTTTGTTATTAGTATTAGATAGCATTTACAAGCAGGAGACAGGAAAATGAAAACCGGGCAGCTTAGATCAGTGTTTCCTTAGAATGACGTTGATTTCTACTGAGATGGCATAAGCCACTTGAAGGGGAGAGATATGTCTTACCAGGGTTAAACAGGGGCACGGTGCTTTACAGCAAATCAACAAAATCTATTCCCTGCTGTGTTTTATGTTAAACAAACACAAACACTGGTAGTTTGTTGAAGAACCCACAGTACTGATTTACACAGAATGGAGAGACAATCACTGCAGGACTGTCCCTTCATTAAATCTTTGAGATCTTTGTAATGTGTTGTTCCTGAACATGAACGTGTTCAAAAACATCATTACCTGCAGCTGAGGAAACCCAGAAAGCACAGAAGGTACTTTCTCCTCCACTGCTAAAATGGCTTCCATGAGCTGAACATCTGCCCAGCTGAATCGGTTTCCCACAAGAAAGTCTTGGCCATGCTGTTTCAAAACCTGTAGAGTACAAGACAGCACAGATTGCAGATGATACCTGGCAGCTAAGCCTTATGGCACAGCTGTAGAGCTAATCGGTGATCATAAGTGATTATAAGTGAAGCTTCGCTTTTTAGCTAGAGATCTGTGAGCCCAAATCACTTCACCGTTGTTGGAAAAAATCAGAACTTCTAGTAAACATATTACAAACTCTGGTCATTTGATAATGATGGGTGACGATTGGTACTGGGAAAACAGACAAAGCCACATGCTTAAATAAGCCATTAACAGACATAAGGTTATAAATAGAGATAAGAAGGAATTGGAGAAAATTCATAAAATTGCCATTTAGATATTTAATTTATGGTTCTGTTCAACATACAGGAAGCAAACTTAGTATGCAAAATTACAATAGCTAACAAGAAAATCCCTGCCTCTGGGAGCAAGTTGTTACAGTAATAGGAACTTCTAGGATGTTCAGCCTTTATTATTGTTTTCCGTCAAAAACTAAATGAATGTTACAAAAGTGAACAGTGTTGCCAGGTCTTGTGAGTTTGGTTTGTTGTTTCTGCAAGTGAGGCATGCAGAAATCTGAGGCTGTTGTTCTACCAAAGCAGTCCTAATACCTCAGTGTTTTTGTCTCTCTGATTTATTTGCAAGCGATTTTTGGCATTCTTCAACTGAAGGATTTTCTCTCACAAAAAAAAAACAAAAACAAAAAAAAACCACCAACATATGTGCTTGCTTTTATATCTGAAAAAGATATGCTGTGTAAACTGAAAACATTTCACTTTGTTTGCTTGGTGGCTGTAACAGCATTACAACCCTGACAACATAAGCTAACAAACAGAAGATTTGCTGTATCATTTCCCCTTCTTTGTGAGAGCCAAGAGGACTGAGGGTCTGGATCTAAATGTACCACAAGTATGTTCTTACTTTTGGGAAAGTTTCTGATAATTGTAAATGCAAGTTTTCTAGGCACATGCTCTCGGTCACATACCTTTTCAAAGACAGGGAAGTACCTCTCTGTTGCCTTCTCTGCAATTGTGGCAATCTTTTTCTCCTTTGCCTCAGGTGGAGAGAAAGGAAACATCAAAATCAATTGCATCAGATCTGATATTCCTTCCACATACATGTCAATCCTGTTTGGGGGGAGGCAATAGACAACAGCACAGGAGTTATTTCATCTGTATTCCAATTTACTAAGGCAACTTACAGGAATTGTATATCACAATCACAGTGCCAAATTTCATAGTCAAAACTAAATACAAAATAAAGCTAGGTAAGTTTTAAAAGGACTAAAAGCCTGTTTCTATTCAACAGCATTTCATAAGCAGTGGTTAAAACCTGAACAAAAACTACTGTCTGCTTTATTGCTTAGCCTTTCTCACACCTTTCTATTGGATTTACAGGGTTGCATTTGTTCAGTGTAATGCAGCTATCAAATAACAGATTGCTCATTAAGCAAGAGGAAGTGTTACCGTACAGGGCTCTCTCCTTCAGGTCTTTCCCATAGAGATTGTATTTCCCTGCTATGTAGCTGAGGATGGCTCTGCACTGCACCAACTTCATCCCGTCGATCTCAACCAGTGGCAATTGATGGAACAGCAGGGATCCATCTAGGACACAAAGTTGAATGAGAGCTTGTTAATTCCCCCTGGAATTCTAGCTTTACAGGAGAGTGCATTTTTTTTGCAGTGTAGATCATGGACGCCTTGCCCTAACTCAGAAACTCCATGTGGTTAATTAACATTGTGGGAAAGATTAAATGCTGTCTGGTAGGCATCAGGTTTGCAGCTTGGTCAGAGAGGTGCAGCTGGGCCCCATGCTTTGCAGCTTTGCCAGAGCTGCACTGCCTGACGGGAACTGGCACCGCTCCCTTGTACTCCTGGCCCCTGGCCCTGCTGGCAGGGGAAGGCTGACCCAGCAGTTCCAGCCCCAGGGACTTGAGGAGAATGAAGAGCTATGTTAAATCTGAGCTTCAGAACAAAAAGCCCAATTATTTTGAATGCAGATCAGTTCCCTGGCAGGCACATAAACAAGGATGGAAATAAAAAAAGAGGTAGTACCACAGTAAGACTGAGCTACTGGGACAAAGGGAAAGGTCAGGGCACTGGGAGCAGCAGTGCCAGATTCATTGTGAGGCAGTGAAGCCAGGGACAGGGAGTGTGACAGCAGCTTGCTGCTTCACTAAGTTTTGCATAGTTGCTCCAGAAACAGGACTTTGAGCATCCCTGTAGATTTCCACTGTCTGCCCCCAGTGTCATTTCACAACAACTCAAACCCATCCAGCCGTGCTACCAGCATCTCCTCCTGCCCCTGTGCTGACAAGCCCTGTTTTCTCCCAGTACTGGAAGCAGTCTGGCTGATCCTTTAACAAGGTTGTGCTGAGACTTTGTGTTTGGCACAGCAAAACCATTTTTTTTTAGTGCAATTTTCTGCTGAACTCATTTGCCACCTTTGGAGATACTCCCTGCTCCATTTACGTGTTTACGGGCATCCAAAGAACAATCCTGACCTGTTAAAATCACACTGAAGCTCTAAATCCAAGTAGACAGCTGCCACTTTTCATTGCTCAAAGTTAAGCATTTATTTTAATTGCTTGATCATTATTAATAGTGCATTTCTTCCAAGTACAAGAATTCACAGCACCATTACCTACTCTCTTCTTTACAGAACTACTAAAATACTCTGCAAACCAAGAATTAATAAAAAATCTTCACTACATCACTAATTTACGGCTTAAATTCTCACTCTCTTTGTGGCAAGGAATAGCCCATTTATTTCTCATAGGCACTAACAGAATGATCCTGTCTCTTCATGTCTTACCAGAACACACCTCTGCAGATTAGGAAAGAATATCACCTATAAGAAGATCCCTATCTAGCAGAAATATCATAGGATGGGAAAAATGGCAGCTATACAAGCATACTTCTCAGCAAGAAGTTGCATTAAGTAGAGAATAAATCTGACTTTCTGCCCCTTGACAAGAAATATAGTGCAGCAAATGTGAGAACACTGAATGCCTGGTTTGTTTCTTCTCTACACAGAACTTTTCCCTTATGACCATTAGTAGGCTGTTTCTCCTGCTTTTGCAATGGCACCACTTCAGATAACCACTGCACATAACATACATGCAGGATTTAAAGCAGTTTGCCACTCATTTTGCTGACTGTACTGTGTGTCTGATGACAGTCTGTGGGCATACATTAAAGAGCAATAGCCTGGGCCTGTTTGCCACAGAACAGCAAGGCTACATAGGTTGAGCCAAGCCAGCAGGTCTCAGGCCAGTGGGTACAGGCCTGGCCAGGGTGATGTACCGGAGTCTCTCAGTTTCCAAAGCAGCTCTCTGGCTGCAAGGTACAGCTGGAACTGAAGAACTGGGAAAAGTTTCTGGCCTGGGCTGAATCCCAGAAAGTGCTGGAGGATTGCTAGAAGAACATCAGTTGGCACAGGCCAGAGCCACACCTGGCCAGTGGTAACAGTGCTTTGGAGTCTGAACTCAGGGCTCCCTGGCACAAGCCACATTGGCAAGGAAAGAGAAAAAAACTGGACATAGAGGGAGTGGTGGTTACTCATGTTCAATCCTGCTCTGATGATCTGGCAGCACTCCACCTAATGACTAATTTTCATCTTTCTTCAACTTATCATCTCAAAGCCAGCCTTTTCCTTTGTGCTCTGAGCCTCTTAAGCTCAGTATAGGTATATACGTGAGGGGCGTTCATTTTCCTTAGAAGACTTCCCTGTCCTTTTTATTGCCACTTAATTCTCTTCTCTGGCTACAGATAGGCTCCATTACTAAATGCAGAATCATGCCATTCTGTTTGGATTAAATATCTTTAAGACGGAAATTCAGATTTGGGTATGTAACTATATACTACCTAAACTATTGTATTTAGGGCTGTATTTGTTGTCTTTACAGCACACAACCCTCCCACATCATCAGATTCCCAGCCAGCTAGACCTACAACTGATCTCAGTGATGCCACGTTTTTATTGCTGTTGTTTTGTTCATTTTAGTTTTGTTTTCATCTTTTCTTTAAACACAGCTTTCCCCATCTGAGTGGGCAGCCCGAACACAGCCAAGTCCTTTTCAGGGTCTCTCTTTGCTGCGCTGAGGTGTTCCTGTCTTGTGCAGCAGGAAAAGTTCAGGACAGGCACACCTGGCAGTGTTCCTCACAGGCCCAGCTCCTTTCCCACCTGGGCAGCAAGGCCTTCCCCCTCCAAGGTGGTGCAGAGGACTTCAAACCGGGCTTCAGCTGAGCAAGTATGAAGGCCAGTGGCTGGGGGTTTGCATTGCTGTTGGGATCTGGTCTCACTCCTACAGTTTACGTAAAGGCTTTCTGGCTGCTTGGAGCACATTAGACATATCTGGAGGAAGATTCATGGCTCTGGCTCATCCAGCACAGCTGGCCTCCTACCTTACTGCCATGTCAAATCCTACCTTAAACTTCCCAGTGCTAGCCTTATTTAATGTGTTACTGTGACCACAGTCGTAGGAGCTATGACTTCAATCTTATAGGAGTTATTTGGTACTGCAAAGAACAGGTTACACAAAACCGGCATTTCAGCATTCAAGATGTATACCAAGAAGTTTGCTTTGGTTTAAATAAACTGCTTTTAAATCGCTAATGTAGCTAAAGACAAGCAACTTTCTGATTGCCAAAGCCTCAGGTATCACGGTCTTACCTTGGCCTAACTTCAATAACTGCTCTCTTGTTTGCAGAAAAACTTCTTCAAACTGGAAAAGAAGAGAGAAGAGCGCTTTATGTTTCTGGCATTTTTCTCCAATTGTCTGCACATAACCTCGAGCAGAATAATCCAGCCAAGCAAAACATGATGAGTTGAGCATTCAGCTGTGCTGTTTGACTGTGAATCCCCTGAAGACTCTCCACCCATCCCCACGGCTGGATAGCAGCAGAAGGACCTGGCCACTTCTGCCTGGTTGCACTGATTCAGAAATTATTGGAGTGCAAGCAGAAGTAAGACACAGACATCGTCAGGGAAGAGCAAGCTGCAGCCAGTGCCAAGGGAAGCACAAGGTAAATCAGCTCTTTCTAGCACCACCCCAAAAGCATGTGGGTCAAAACATCTTGCTTTTTTATACACTATGCAACCGCAATCTAAATGAGACAGAGCAAAAGTGATTTTGCACAGCTGGAAAACTGAGATTCATTAAAGGCCTTTTAAAAAAATCCCTGTTTAGACCCACTAGAATTACTTCAGAAGACTGATGCTAGCTCTGTGAAACTCAAAGCTCCTTTGAGTTTGCATCCCAAATACCAGCCACTGAACAGGGTAGGTACAAACCTAAATTCATTTGAAAATGAATTTATCCACCCTTTTGCACCCTTATTCCCTGTGTGCATATTGAATTGTTTCACACAGTGTCCATTTAAAGAGCTGAGTGTCAACCAACCTCCACTCCAGCTGCAGCTAGCAGCCATCGGATGGACTCCATTCGCCCTCTTCCATTGATATAGGTGAGCCTGGGCTTCCCCGACATGCTTCTGAGCTCCCCGTGCCTTGAAAAATATTAAGCTGAAAACAAAGATCTTATAAAGCAAGTGTAAGTACCATTATTTGGGAGGAAAAAAGAGGAAAACCTTTTATTCTCACTACATCTGCTGTAAGTGTACATTATTTGACTTAAAATATGAGGGATGGATTAGTGACAACACAGACTATAGAATCATAGAATCATTAAGGTTGGAAAAGACCATTGAGATCATCTATTCCACCTGTCAACCCATCCCCACCATGCTCACTAACCATGTCCCTCAGTGACACATCCACACAGTTTCTGAACACCTCCAGGAATGGTGACTCCACCACCTCCCTGGCAGCCTGTGCCACTGCCTCACCACTCTTTCTGAGAATAAATGTTTCCTAATTTCCAATCTGAACCTCCCCTGGCTCAGCTCGAGGCTACTACCTCTTGTCATATACTAGGAAAGAAAGATGTGCTGAGTGGTAAAACCTTTCCAGTGCTAGTAGGAAGGGGTTTTCTTGGTCATCTGCAAAAACAGACATGTTTAAACAAGCAATCTGAATACTGAGATGGAGGGGGAACCTCACTGCATTACAAGACATTAATATTAAGCTCCTGGAAATCCACCATGCCCTCAAGGCAGTTACTCAGTGACAATCATTGCCCAAGAGGGAAAAGAAAAGATGTTATACTGCTAGGCTGAAATCTTCCTAGCATTTTTTTTTTTCCCAGATGTTAGAGTGCATCACGCAGCTTCATCTGTCACCCACTTCTTTCTTTAAATAAATGAATCATTGATCTTCCCTCTGTTCCAAGAGGCAGCTTGAGTTGCCTTGGCACTCACAGAATCATAGAATAGCTTGGGTTGGAAGAGACTTCAAAGATCATCTGGTTCCAAACTGCCTGCCAGGGGCAGGGTTGGCAATCACTAAATCAGTTGCTCGATCAGTTGTCTTGGGTGGCCTCAGCCCGTCTCCTTGGTGCTTATGGTCTCCCCCAAAACCATACCTGCAACCCAGCTGCAGGTGCCCCCAAAATGTATCCCAGGGCACAAGGGAGTAGGTGTGCCCAGGGCTCTGCACATTATGATCTCTGCAGCTCCCATCATAGCACACACCTTTGCACCAAGAGGGGCTGTGGCACAGACAGAAAATTGGTATGAACCTATTTCATGCAGTATGGACGAACAAATGGGCTCTTTGTGTTGAAGCTGGAGCATATATTTACCCTAATTTCTGTGTTCCATTGCCCTAATTGCTAAAAAATGGGACTAGAATTCCCCCTTCACAAGCAAGTTAATGTCGTACACCACAGAACGGGAGAAAAAATGCTTGAGGATGTCCTAAAAACAAAATGAGATAAAAACAAACAAACAGAAATCCTACAGATGATTTCAATTTTCTCAGAGCTGAAAACAAAAGCTGCAGTACTCATACTGTTGCTATCATATAACTGCACTCACACTTCATCTTCCATTTAAATAAGGTTCAGTGCATTCTAGTGACATTTTCTTCAAATCACACTGCTTTTTAAGTGTGCTCAAAATGAAGTACATTCAGAAAATTCTTTGCCAAAACTCCATTTTAAAGAGCAATCAGAACAATTCTGGTAAAAATTAAGTTATGCTTTCACAATAAGAAAGGGTAGTTCGTGTGATTTTGACTACACAATCTGAATTGAAAAGAGAAAATATTACCTCCAGTTTTAGAACGCAAACAACTGTTGCTAATTATGGTCCTGCCTGTAAGTCAGTGGTTGCAGTCGTTTCTACAAATGCTGAGTGAACAGTTTTTATGACGTGACTGTACGGTTTATCTATTTATCCACAGCTAACTGGTGCCTCTTCATTACCATACTTATCAGAAACACTGTGTCATATCATTCCAAAACACATTGACCCTGCTTGTAATGCACGAAAACATACAGTAAATAAGGTGTTAACTACACAGCCAAGGGTTCTACAACTGTACAGGAAAACATAAGGAGTGAAAAGCATTAGACAACATTTTATTGTTTTACATGAGTGAGAAATTCTGTATACCATTGAATTATGTGAAGATTAATCACAAGTAGACAATAAAAACTTGCCATCAGCTGCAGCTTTCTAAAGTAAATAATAACTCCATCAGCCATAAGTAGATTTTAATAATCTTAAACCTCTGACACAGAAAGAAATACTTGTTTTGTTTTTTTTTTTTTTTGTAGTATTCTCAGTCTTAGATCCACCAAACATCACCATTGACTACAAAGGGCCCCACCATACACCCATCTACACCTGTGTTACGGTGCCTGGATCTTGAGGTAGGATCTGAGTCTTGGATACATGCCCATGCGTCTGTTGCCACTGGAGATGGGCAGATACCATTCCAAACTTGCTGAAGACCTTTGTCCTACTGAAAAGACAGCCTGGTGCTTGGCAGGAAACTGCAGTTGCAGTCAAGCTCTCAGCATTACCACTTTGGTGGAAATGCACAAATCACCACTGCTTCAAGCACAAAAGTAAGTGGATGTATCTACATACGTATACATTTACCGTTTTTGTCTAAACTCCATATTTCTGTCCTATTCTCTCTCTCAGTGCTTAAGAATCTGCTCTATGCAGTTGTGACTCACACTGCAGGATTAGTTTCCTGATTAAAAAGATCTTTCTTGCTCTATATGGTAGCCCAAACACTTAAAAAATAGGGGAGCTTAGAAGTCTGTACTTACCTTCTGTACTCAGTCTCGACTGCTTACGGGCGCAGTCCCACTTCTGGTTTAACTTGGCAGCTCCTCCTACACCTGGGAGTTCCCAGCCATACCCAATAAGAGAGAAATACTCCTATTGCCGTTAATCTGACGTTATGGAACTTAAAGGCATACATATCTGAAGGTGCCATTCAAGGCAGAGGTTCTTTTGCAGGTTGCTGATTTGACCATACTATGGGGTAGTCACAAAATTTCTATCGTAGCCATCTATTCAAGCTCCTCTTTTGGAATTACTGCGGTGTTTTACACACTTATAAGAGAAAGACAATTTAAAACACTGAGAACATCATAGGTTCTTCTGCATCTTATTTAAGATAACACAGAATCACAGAATTGCCAGGGTTGGAAGGGACCACAAGGATCATGAATCTCCAACCCCCCTTTTAAAAACTATCCAGTAAATCTTCTAAGCCTACCTTAACAGTAACCAAGGTACTTATTTTCAGTGTTGTCTGGCATAAAAAGAATACCCAAAGTAGGGATAACAATTCCCAACTACTTCTAAATACAGCTTGCCGATGACAATTTACTTAGTGGTAACTTGGTATAAAAAACAGATGAGCAGTTTATGCAACAACTTAGCCCATGTCTAAGGAAACAGCACTGATTTTGCAATTGAGTGTACATGGAGATGTACACACAGCATATACAGAGATGAAGTATAGTATGATTTTCCTACCCTGTTTCTGTGACATATAGTTACTGCTGACCTCAGCTGTGCTATCTACATGTCAGATAAAATGATCAAAATGGAAGAGAGTGTGGACAGACACAAACACAGCTTAACAGATATGAAGTAGGATTTGGACAGCAAAGATCATTTTCTCACTGTACTGTAGACTTACATATGATGTGGCATCATTCACTCTCTGCATCAGATGTTAGCACAGCTAATCTGAAGGTCTGCCCATACAGCAAACATTAAGTAATGGTACAGTCATGGCTGTACCAATGTAGCATTGCAAGTTGGGGAATTTCAGTACCAAAGTCTTTACCTGACTGCTTTGAAGAAATTTCAAGATGCTGCTACTTTCTTTTTTTCCTCACATTTCTGGTTCAGTTACAGTCTATCTGCCTGGCAGTTGCTGGCAATCTCCTCTACAGGATGCATTTTCACTCGTGTCCTGTTGGAAATTTGTAATTAATGTTCTTCAAATGTTGACATTGTCAGCAAAATACAATGATATGTTGCTTCTTCCTACTTTGCCTAATTCTAACCCTCTCAGATTCATCATCTGGAGAATAAAGTAGATCATTAAATGTACATTTCCATATTGCTTCCATGTCAAATCCAATTAGTAACCTGCAGAAAATTCACATGTACAGGCTGGAAGTGTTTGCCCTTACCTGTCCGTGTTGGCAGCACTGAGTAAAGACTAAGCTGTTCCTGCTTTGAGGTCTCTGATATCTCTGATTTGATGCAAAGTGATGAGCAATCAAGCAACCTGTTCTGGTGCTTTTTGGATTTACTGAACAATGTCACATCCAGATTCAACAGTTTTTCCCCTTTCACACATCCCTGTTTGCCAGGAAGAGTTTATCCTTTGTTATATTTAGACAATGTTTGATGTCCCTTCCAACCCAAGCCATTTTATGATTTTGCGAAATTTTTGTTTTGCTTTCAGCTCAGCAATTGAGAAAACAATGTAACCTCTATAAGCTCCATTGAGATCTACTGCCTACGAGATTTCTTTCATCTCTAACTTAACTTGTTGTATAATCCTCCAGAGTAGAACAGAAAACAAATCTATGTTATAAAAAATCTGATAAGCCACACCTGTGAGCACCCAGGCAGCTGGCATAGATCCCAGGTACCACTTAAAGGATGTTGGGTTGGGTACAAGCATGCCCCACCCAGCAAGTTCCCAGTGCAGTCTGTGAACACACTTCATGATGGTGCACCTTAGAGAACTCAAAGACTTCTCTAAATGTGATGCTCACAAACCACTAAACTGCTGTCTTGGGGCACCATGTCTGATTGCAACTTCTAGCAGCATCTTTTCAGGGGTAAGAGCTAGGTATCCAGCTAAATGCTGCTGGAGAATGAAGCAGGGAGCTTGGAGGATTCTCCCAGAGCTTCCAATCAAGCTCTTAAAATGAAGAACAAGCACATATTGATAGAACTAGAGTCCACAAAAACAGTTCAACCAAGTTGTGTGTCACGCAACCCAAGACATGCTGACCTGTCATACTGTGACACTCCAGCAATGACTCTAGTCTTGTCCTGAAAGCCTTACTGAACACCCGAGTACATAGACTCTCAGAATTCTATGATCCTTAGTTGGAAGGGACCCATAAGGGTCACAAGTCCAACTCCTTGCTCCACATAAGACCACCCAAAATTCAAGCCCTACTGTACACACACTCCCTGAACTCTGGCAGCTCAGGGCCATGCCTACAGCCCTGTGCAGCCTGTTCCATGCCCACCCCCTCCTGGTGCAGACCCTGTCCCTCACCCCCAGCTGCCCTCCCCTGACACAGCTCCACGCCGTTCCTCGGCCCTGTCGCAGTCACACAGAGCAGAGCTCAGCGCTGCCCTCCGCTCCCTGTGAGGGCACACTGTTGACTCATGTTCGACTTGCTGCAACCAAGATCACCATAAGTATGATGTCAGCCAAGTTGGCATCATCTCCTGCACATTTCTGCAGGCCAGTTGGGACTTATCCAGACCACCAGCACAGAAAATTCTGAGAAAATCAATCCTAATCCTGATTTACACTCATCGTGCGAGGAGTGTAAATGGCGAGGAAAGCTTAAACATAGGGACAGAAACAAAGTTTATGCTAGAAAAATGAAAGGCCAGCACACAGACCCCAGCATCAGCATGTGCCTCCCCTTGTGGCAAAAGTTTCCTAGCACAGCTGCGACCTCGGCCAACCAGCTCTGTCCCACAGGGTGCCCAGGCGCCGCGGGTGGGCAAGTGTGGGCCAAGGATCGTTGCCAATAACTGCATCAGAAGCAGCCACCCTGTGTGCAAAGTGGCAATGGCTGTACAGACACCAGCTTCGCTGTGCCAGTGGCTGCAGGGCCAGAGCAGCATCACCAGCACAAACAGTGAGGAATAATGCAGAACCCTTTGAGGGGCTTTAGACAGAGCCTGAAATGATGCTTAGTGATGCACTTAAAAATGAGAAGGACAATGAGGACAAATGTAGGGTGGGCTAAAGCCAGCAGGCAGGCAGAGAAGGTGACTCATGCTGACTCAGGGCCGTGTCAGGGTCAAACATAAATACCAGTTACGCGCATGCCAAAAAAGGAGCAGAGTCTACACAGATATCTAGCCCCAAATCTGTAAAATCTGCTCAAAGGGTGGGTTGAAATCCCACATAGTGTGAGATGTGCCAGATCAAGGCTTTAAAGCCAACTGAAAAAGAACTTTAATCCATAATGTGAAATACTGAACTTAAGTAAGTTTTGTATTATAATGACTTCTTATTTCAATAGTAACTTGTATATGTTTCCTTTATAGGACTTCTGGCATGTGCTGCAAAACTTTCTAGGACTTCCTAGGACTCTCAGTTTATGCACATTGTTACATCTAAAGCTTATGTGCATTGTTGCACTAAAACAAATAATTAGTTTATGTTTAAATAACATTTATATTTTCAAAAGGAGGTGGAAGGAAGTAAAGCAGACTTCTACATTTATCTGATGTTGACCAATTATAAAGCTGAACAAAAGCATTTATTCCATCTTTTTTTTTTTTTTTTTTTTCCTCAGTATAGGAAATTGTAATTGAAATTGGTCACTGGAAAATATTTAAAACCAGTTTTTATCCTGTGAGACATTTTGTTTGTTTGTTCTGGTTATTATCTTTATAAAATCAGATCTACTTACACTTCTTATATGAGGAGAAATAGATTTCAGGGCACACAAATCCACTTTTATTCCTATAAAACAGCTCTGTTTTTACTGAAGTTTGTGTTTCCCCCGAGTTCATCATCATTCTATAACATTCAGTATCCTTAATATAGATTTCAGCCTTTATTTCCCTTTAAGAGGAAATATTCTCTCTTTCCCTTAGACTCCCTTACACAGATCTGTCAGCATGATAAGATTCAATGAGACAAGATTAATGACGTGTTATTCATACAATATTGAACAATCTAACTTTTAAGATTCTCTTTATTAGTTGTTTTGTACTATCTTCAAAATAACAACATGTATGTGTTTTAATAATATTTATGAGTAAACTTCTACCTCTACATTTACTTTTCTTACAGATACATCCAACAGTTTATTAAATGTAACCTGCTTTGCTCTCTGCTGATGTGAAAATATGATTTATTGTTCTGGGTTGCGTGTGAAGGATCATACAAATCTAGAAGAACAAAAATTAGGGAAAGCTGACATAGGAATGTCATGGAAAATGACATAGGATGTTGAAAATTCTCTGTATTAATGCTACAGCTTCTTTATCTGGTGGTGGTTTCCCTCTTCAGCTCTGCATTTTATAGTCATTGTACTTTACATAATTGGCTGTATTTCCCCATCCCCTCTTGAGTGCACTCTTCTGCACTCTGAAAGACTGCAAGAACCTTCCAAGCATTTTAACTTCTCTTGCACAAGAGAAGATATACAGCACTTCCCAGAACAGGAACACTGAAAGAAGGCTTTGGTGTGCTTGAGAACCAGGCTGACACTTCATACAGTCTTTATGTACAAGTAATGAACTTGCAGTAAATAAAACACTGGCAGTACATGCGTGCTAGAAAAGTGATGGTGAAGCTATGTCTCACTGCTTCTCCCAAGGTTGGTACAAAGCAAACGCAGAAATTTGTGTTGGGAAGTTGTTTTATTACCTTCAAACAGAGTTTGGTCATGAAAGCCAAGTACATAGTCCAAAACAGTATAATTGTATAACAGTAAAGAGAAAGATTTATGGATCCTCCTGCAGGTTAAACCTTCATCATAGGTTTATATAAA